CGAGTGTGCTACGCGTTCCGCATATGTCTAACGTTTTTATTACTGAAGAAAAGCATGTCATGCACACTGCAGTAAGAAAATGCGCGACATTGATGATATTGACGTCTGCCACTGTGCAGCTGTTTTAGATTCTGTCCCTGTTGATGAGTGATGTGTGGGGTTTAACGTTCCAAAACCACCACTGGCTCGACCGTCTTCCCATCCTACTTCTGAACATCCGTGGCCTCCGATCAGCATTGAAGGCGAATCTCGGCTGCTCGTTAGTTTAAATAGTCGACGGCGCTTCCTTGCGTCTTCCAGGAGAATTCTTCGAGCCGTCTTCGCCACCTTCTACTCAAAATGCTTCCTACATACATACATACATACATACATACATACATACATACATACATACATACATACATACATACATACATACATACATACATACATACATACATACATACATACATACATACATACATACATACATACATACATACATACATACAAACATACATACATACATACATACATACATACATACATACATGCATACACGGTATTGAAGTGTGTAGTACCATAGTGGAACTGAACATTTTTATTAAGCTAGAATACGTGATTCGTGATTTAATAATGATCGGCAATCACGACGAAATAGGAGGAACACCAATCACATGTGATTCTGGTTGAGTGCGGATTACGTGAATTTTTCGCATGATTTATTTTATGTTGTTCAACTTTTAGCAGACGGGAAATCGTGAAAAGTAGAATATCACTTCGCACGGTTTCACTTCGCCCGTTGGTTTCGGCTCATCAGAGAGAAAAGTAGAAGAAAAACTTGAAATTCAGTTTTTAAAAGCCACAGTAAATCTATCCTATTAGAGAACAGAGCTTCTCGATGACATAAATAATTCGCCTCAGCTTTTCCACAGCTATCCAGCTTTTCGTAGAGACTTGCCCTAAAATTTTAAAGCATTCGTCATCTTTTAAGTTTCTACTGATGATGACTTAACAATTCACATGTGAGCCTATCCACTTGATTGCATCCCTCAAAAGCCTAGTGTGTGCACGTGGATGTCGAATTTTCGGTTTGTTGTACCGGAAAGACGGAATGGTAGCCTCGAATCGATTAAACTTTATTTTGGTTCAGAATGCATTGCTGGCATCCTTTCCCTCGTAATTTCGCTTTTAGGGACAACCGTGAACGCATTCTTAGACACTGCGGCAACACTAAGTTCTACGGACGTGCAACCTAACAGGATGAAAACATCACATGCCTGTTCGTCTGCGGCTGCTATAAAACCTCAGAGAATACCAAAGGAGGTCTAGAATATTCATCAGAGAAGCACTTGGGAAAGCCAGCTTTACCGAAATATTGGCTTCAAGTCTGTGCTGAAAGCTTACCGTGCATTTTATTTCTGTGTGATGTGGGTGCGAAAATTACAATTATTAATTCCGTGTGAGCTCAGTAGTCAGCCGAAGCGAATATTTATTTCAGTGTGAAGGCTATACATTTATATCGAACGTAGCAATGAACCACGAATGATGACGCAAGTAGGAAAGACGCAGCATCTATGTCGTGTTGTTTTATCGGAAGTTACGTTATACATAATAGAGAGTTGGTTGTTCTCTCAGATCTTTCAAGTCTGCCGACAGAGAACCGCTCGTGCGAAAGCGAGGGCATGCCTACATTGGTTTGTTGCGTAACATAAACCATAAACCAGTGCCAACTGGCTGAGCTTGCCACTATTCACTAATATTTATTCTATATGGATTTGTATACAAATAAGGTGATACCTTTGGAGGAAGATTATCAGGCAGGCATTGAAGCGATCATAGAGGTAGCGAAAAGCTACGATCGTGTTCTGACTCCATTTTTTCATTAATCATGCTGCTTGATGATTGAAATGACAGGAAGGTTCTTTTTTATTGTCTTCTTAATGAATTCACCTTATACTGTTTCTCAGGTAGGTCTGATCACATTGACATGGTTGACTTTGAGGACGTGCGCAATTCCAATTCAAATTGTCACTTCGGTATTAGATGCGGAAGCATCTTATACTCGCGCCTTGTAGTGCGCCGTCCGCACCGCTTCTCGAACATTCGACAGCTGACGCGCGCGCATGCGCCGTCGCGCCGTCGCCCACCATCTGTGCCGCGCGCGCTTCTCCTTCGAGAACATTCGACAGCTGACAGCGCATGCGCCGTCGCGCTGTATATATAATCAAGGTCGGCGCTCGCTCGCTCAGTTGCCGCTCGTCGGTTGGTTTGTACGGCGCGTCGTCGTCCAAGGTCGCGGTGAAATGAATTCCAACGAATCCACAAACACAATGATCGACGTCCCTTCGACCAGCGCCGCCCTTTCGCATACGTGTGTACGTGTTCACTCATTTAACACCCCCTCCTACAACCACGTTAACCAATTTAGCCATCGACCCAAGTAAGTCGCAATTTAACACCCCATTTCACAACCACGTTAACCAATTTAGCCATCGACCCAAGTAAGTCGCACTTTAACACCCCGTTAACCAATTATATGCTCCGCATCCTCCTCAGTGTTCCCCCGAGGGAAGCTGCGGGCAATTTTTTGAATTGGCTCGAACATAGTAGAATATGACAGGTTTAACGAGATACAATTTAGTATTTCAGACACTGCATAAGGTAGAGAGAAACCAAATTAAGTCTTGAGAAAGAAAGAGCGAGAGAAAGGCAAAGGAAACGCAGGAGGTTCGCTAGGTTGTACCCTCTTTGCTACCGTGCATGGGGAAAGGAAGATGAGAAAATAAACTGAGAAGTGAAGAAAGAGAGAGCGAACGATGCTGCTTTCATGCACGGCTTTCAAGATGGCGGGTGCGTGGCGTACTTCCCTCCAACCGTCCCAGTCACCACGTTCCCCAGCAAAACCAATGTGTATTGCCTCGCACGCCCGCCTCCCGGGGGGGGGGGGGCGCATTCACTATGGAGTCGGGCGGCGGTGGAGCCCGGGGCAGAAGGCAGAGTGCACGGGATTCCAGCATGCGCCTGCTTTCATTTTCGCTTACGAGCAAGAATCATCGCCAGAATCTTCTGGCTGCAATAAACGCAAGCTTTTTTTTTATTACTGCACCTATTTTGGTCCGTTTTACGACGAAAAAAATGACAATTGCTGAATAATCCTGATATAGATCATTGTAAGGAGGTATAATTCATCTATGGCCGTACTACATTTTTTATTCATTATGTCACGTGTTGTTGCTGTGCTGAATACTTCGATTTGAGAAATACAGACGCATTCTAGGATTTCTCCTTTCTGGAGGCGTTCATCGCAAAAATTGGGCTAATTATTGTCGTTGAATCATATTGGCTTCCTATTGCGACACATTGTTTTAGTACTTTATCGCGCACGGATATTTATAAAGTGGTCAACTGAAGCACAGTGACGTTCTAGATAAGTGAGTGCCCTGGTCATGTCACTGATGTAACGGGATTAGTAATTTCGCCGGAATATTCTAGAAGGCTTTCATTAGCCGACACATATTTTTTCCTGACGTCTTCCACAGTGAAAGTGAGTGTGTTGTTATTATTTCCTTTTTTTCTCATCTGTATTTTGATTATGTTTCAGTAACACAGCAGTAATATCATTATCGTGTTCGTTTACTGCACTGTCGACTGCATTAAAATCAAAGGGTCGTACATGAAAGAGAATGGAGTCTTTTTAAAGAAAACTATGTATTGATCGAGTAGACTTTTGAAGAAAAAGAGCAAATTGTCAGTGCTATAGAACGCACAGTGCTTCATACCAAGTAGATCAAACTCTGAACACGTGTTGCGTACTTCTTGAACAAGCAGATGATTTCGATGGCCATTCTTATATTATCCAGTATATTCACTGGACACCGTAAAACTCACTGTGTGAATGGGTGAAGATTCACACTGTGATCATTGCGCAGCTGTGATTACATCAGTGCGTCTGTACGAATAATCGAAATGGCATCAGAATAAAAAGCAGGGCTGGTTCCATTAAAGGAAAGAAAAAAGAACCTATTTAGTCGAGTTAAACACGTGAGCGAAGAATGAAGCACTCTTCTGGCTTCGCGTGCAAATCGTGCTGTCCTTTATTTTTTCTTCGTAGCCAGTGCCCCCCCCCCCCATACTAAACAGCCCGCAAACTTCGAAATATAGTAATTTTTTAGCACATACAAATCTCTTGCACAGGCATCGCAACTTTAAATGCACTAATATGGGCAGTGCAAATATACCACGAAAATCCAATTTGATATTATATACGCCCCAGCATTGACTTTGACTGTCGTACCCTTCCTGTGATTGGGACGGCTGGAGATAAACAAGGCTCGCGCTTGCCACCTCGGAGGCCATGCCCCACGTATCGGGCTTCGCCGCGTACCCCAGACAGTCACAGGTGAGAATGAAACGGGTATGAAACGGGTATGTATGAAACGGGTTCCTCTGTGGTAGTCTCAAAAGACGCTGGAATCCAAGATGGAAAAAGAGGGCTTTGAAGGACTACCTTTAATGTATTGAAAACCTGCAGTGTTCACTGAGCTGATGGAGTTGTCACTGTGTTGAAGAGAGTACGCCTCCTGTTTATCAGAACTATCAATCAGACAACACAAATATCAGCAAATGTTGCAGTTGCCTACATTACACTTGTGGAGGAAAAGATGATGAGTTGATGGCGTACTGGTGAGCTATTATACACCAAAGTACAATAAGCATTCAACTACTCCTGCGAATACAAGGTTCACTTTCAAATTATATTGCTTGCCATGACGAAGGGATGAACCGTGTTTTATGATTGTTTGTTTTCATACTTTTAATACGGTTTAGTCTCATAGCACTCGAAGCCCAGCTTGTGGTCGGCGGGGGGGGGGGGAGGGTAAACTTCGGTATGTTCTTTGAAAAGCGTATTATCGTTTGGAGCTAAGCTAACACGAGCAGTCGTAGAGTAACATAAATATTTCACACGAGTATAGCACAAGTGTAAATAACGGTATGTTTTCTGCTTTTCCACTTTTCAGATCACCCTCTGTACAGTAGGTTATGGTGACACCGTGCCCGTCACGTGGCCCGGGAAGTTGATTGCATCTTTTTGTGCTCTCATGGGAATCTCCTTCTTTGCTCTCCCTGCTGTAAGTGCGTCATCGTTCACGGCGTTACCGTATTATTAGATTGTTCCTTTGTTTTGTTCTTTATTTCCGATCACAGTATAGAACACTGGCGGGCTGCCATGCTCAAACAATGAACTCGAGTCACAAGTGGTATCTTGTGATACTCCTTATATATATGCTAACTTATCAAACTCCTTGCGGTTTCATTAAGTAATGAGTGACTAACGTTAATCTATTGTAAAGGAAGTTCAATATTCTTGAGTGTTATGTGTCAAAACCACAGTATGATCTCGAGCGACCCCGTAGTGGGAAGCTGCGGAATAATGAGGAATCTGTGGAGTCCATTTCGTTCTTTCAAGCACAAAGCTCCCTTGTATTTTTCACCTAATAAAATGTGGCAACCATGAGTAGTAGTTTGGATTGTGTCATAAAGCATATCCGCCTCACGTACGAGGCATAATGCGGTTATAGCTGGTAGTAAAAAAAAAATATATGTGTAAGGAGTTTTAAAACTTATTACTGCTGCTACGGCGTTCATTGCTTTTGAATGGCATATTCTCAAAGTGCAGATGGATATCAATCATATGGAATGGGTTACATAGGAAGTTACTTCTGCATGCTTTACGTCTGTATACGCCATAAACAATATAACTGAAGACGACTGTATGACCTCCACTCCAGCAAAAAGAAATGTAACCAGCGACCAATTCTAAGCGCCTTTTCATTCAATTTAATTTTCGATGAGGCATTTTGTGTTGACTTGGTTTGACCTCAATATTCGGGAATAATAATCACCACACAATTATTCCGTAACAAAATGTGAGTAATACTTATTGCGACTATAGCTAAAGAAATAGACGCTAGCCCAAGTGCACTGAAACTACTTCGAACTTTATAGAATAAATATGATCCATCACTTGTTTCGCTCTAGCGCGAACATAAACCTGCTGAGATCGAAAATTTTATGGGCCACTCTTCCATAAGCGCATGAGACGTTCGAGGAAACTTCCGCCTTTAGTAGAACGCTGCATAAGCAGGGTGGGGGTAGGCATAGGGATTTTTCTTTTTATATATTTTTACCTGCAGGCTTAGTTTACCGCTTTTTATCAGAGAAACGCGCCATCTCTTGGCATCGTCAGCCACTGTGAGGTATGGAAGTGGAGAGTTCCTTTGTTGCACTTAGTGGAGAAAGCCTCGCGAACTTTGCCAGACACCGTAGTGGTCTACGTCCGTGAAAAAGCTTTGTTGTGTTGCGCATCGACCCTGCAACGGTTCCAGCTAACTCTGCTCTCATCCACCCGTACGATCAAGGAGAAGGGCTTTTAGGCACGTGTTCCTTGCCGTCAGCTCTTTATAACATTGATTACTTTGGAACAAGTAAGAACACATATCGTGTCTCCGGTTCAGGCAGATTTTTTCTGAAAGCATCTTGTTTTTGTATAATAGAGGAACAATTGCATTTTGGCAACGTAATGCGACATATGAAATTTCTATCAACAGGGAAACAAAACAATGCGCTCTCAACATTGTTTTACTGTCTTCCCTACTGAACGTCGTACTTGCCCATAGCTGCAAATACGTGGTGCTCAGTCATATGGTGGAAAATATTGGCATATTTCGGTATATTTCTGTATTCTGAAGAATATTTACATTTTGCTGTATACAGCGCGCCGTCTACAAAACCATCGCTCCTGAAATGTCAGGGCTGGCATAGAGGCCCACACGAGAAAGCTCTCACACCAGGGCGCTCAGTTCTTTCCCATCGACATCATATTGCCACCGTTTTGGCATTGATCGAGGGCCAGCATTTTCGCTCATTTGGTACCTGAAACTGACAAGACATGTGAAAGCGCAGTCGGCGCTATAAGGGAGCAAATTTTGTCGTTTTGCATTTTTTGCGACATTCGTGGAGAATCGAAGAAACATTTTTTTTGCGTCAGGACATTTTTCGTGCGGGACTTGCGTTCGCATCTCCATAAGTGAGGTTTCAGTTCCTTTGGTGTTTGAAATTTTTGTAAGCGCATGCGCAGCGATAAAGTCGAAGTTTTTGAGCAGCAGCACGATGCCTACTATCCGACATGATGCTGCAGCAAAACCAACTGTGTAATATATCCGGCGGAATAGGAGGAATGATTTCGTTTTTTCCCGCCAAACTGTTTTGTCATTTCACGTCATTTAGATTATTGTATACAAAGATATATACCTATCTTTTTCTACTAACGTGTATCTGCGCAGAATACGTATGACATCAATGCATTCCATTGAAATGTAATAAGCTGCGGAATATATTTAGGCTTACTAGAGCTTTTTATTCCCATATTTCTTGTAACTTTTGCAGTAGTAAATAAAAAGTAATTGACAAAGTGAATAAATTTTTGACTAATTGATTGATTCATTGATTGATATCCGCTAAAGTTGTGAGGCAAGCACTATAATAATAGGTTTCTGTATAAAATACTAACTTCAAGATATGGCTGACAATACAAAAGTATTCTCCTTGAGGTATGCTGTATTCGTATTGAGTCTTTTGTAGCTTTTGAACTTAAACTAATTACTTGATATATCCTGTTGGCAATACCTTTGAAAATTACACCTATTGTGCGCTGAGCGAAGAAATTGAAGATTTTTGATTACATAATTACGAAAATAGCCCAAAAAATGCCTACCAGGCCTGCACACAAAACTATTAATCTATTCCTGGAAGAAGAAAAAGGCTAGGCAGCAATAGAGTGGTGTGTGTAATCCGGACAATCAACTACGATCTTTGTGCTTTGATCTAGATTAGGTACTGCAGCCTAAAGTCATTAGGAATCTTGATTTATAATACTGCATTTAAATTGAAATGGTCTGGAAAGAAACGTTTTCAGATTATCGCCTAACTCTGTTCACTGCCAGGTAAATGTTGAAGCAAACAGCATGACAAGATTTACCGGAAAATACCAAAAGGTTAAAACATTATGGGCTTTTGTGTAACAGAATCTAGCTGGGAATCTGGTTTCTAGAAAACCAATAAACATACTTTCTCAACATGTAATTTTCCGTTAAAGAGTAGTCACAAGGAGAACCATAACTCTAAACCGATATAAATAGCGACAGATTTATTTTTCAATACTATTTTGAACTTATTTTTCAATTCTGCACATTTATGAAATTTCAAAATTAAAATATTTTTTTTTGAAAGAGAACGTCACTCTAAAGAGGTGATGTGTGCCTGACATATGCAAGTAAAATTAATTAATGCGGAAAGTGTTCATGCGCTAGTAAAGAACAATGTCGTATAAAAAAATATAACAGTCCAGTGCACAATTGCGAACGTTTTTCTTCATGGTTCGGGTGGACTCTACAAAATTATGAGTTCATCTGAAAAGGGGTTTGAAAATTAGGCGCGTCCACCAATAAAAATGTCATCTCAGTTTCAAAATCTCGTTTGTTTGCGATAGGTTTAGATACAAACAGCAATGCTCGGCTCATCATGATATGTTATCGTTTTCAGGGCATCCTGGGGTCTGGATTTGCGCTCAAAGTACAACAGCAGCAGCGACAAAAGCACATGATCCGACGGCGTGTGCCCGCTGCTACTCTAATCCAGTGCCTGTGGAGGTGCTATGCCGCAGATGAAAACTCCATGTCCGTGGCAACATGGAAGATTCATCAGGTCCCTCTGCCCAGTCCACCTACGTAAGCGGATATTTCTCCCAAGCTGAAACATTATGCGCGTAAACCACCCTTTACCATTTTTGGATACCTGTGGCTATACCGTAGCACGTGATAGGACCCCAAGGGCACTGCTACCCTGGTGGACTTACCGACAAGACATTGTAGGGAAAGTTTACAGGATCATTGATCAGAGAAGACCTTGAGCAAATTTTTAAAAAGACACAAACGCCAAACAGTAAATCAGTTTGGGAAATTCTGTAATTATTTCACTGCTCTATCATTTTTCTCTTCACTTCACACTGCTGAAAGAAGCAGTTTTAGTTTAACAATTATGTTCCGAATTTCACGCAGAAATTACTTCATGCGAGTTCTATTGTGCCGTTACTAATATAAAGGTTTTCGAGTATTTGGGGTGCAATAGAGCAACGAAATTTACTGAATTTCAGCATCGACTCTGTTGGCATAGACCACTGTGGAAGGGGACGAGAGTGTGCTGATTAATAACGCCATAATTGAAGAAACATGTCGTTATCATGATTACCGTTGAGAAATGAAGATCTTGGACAACGTTCATTCCTTGACTATAAGAGATACCACGAAAGTAACCCAGCCTATAGTTAGGTCTAATAAGCTACGCTCACATACGGGAGGCACACCTTCCCTCGACCCTCGCTGCTCCACCCCAGGACCGGCTGAACGCAAGAACCGCCGTTTTTCTTGCAACTGTTACCCTGCCCGTAACTGATGCACGTGCCGTATTTCATGTTATATATGAAAGTCAATGTGGCGAACGTGAGTATTGCGTTGACGCTGGTCACTAGAAGACAACGCTGCAAACGATTCTCCTGGAAAAGCGATAGAGTCTGAAAACAAGGCGATGTCTTCTTCCTTCTTGTTTCGTTTTTGCATTGCTGCCTGCTTTTGAGATACGTGTTCGCGAAAATGTTAATACATGTGCGTGCACAATGATGGAACTACTTGCATGTTCACGCACGAAAACAAAACGTATATGCACAAATCACATGCATGCCAAATGCAAAAGATACAATTTCAATGAAAATGGGAAAGCAGAGCGTGTGTCCTCGTTGTGAAATCTAGCAAGAGTCATTGAGCTGTCTTCTTCGGAATCAACATGATTCTTTCCTTTTATATCCATGTAGCATTTTTTCTCAGTTCAATCTGCAAATGAACATTTTGTAACTGCTTGAAATAAGTTGAATCGTTCTGTAGGATTTTACTCGCACCTTGAACTTACAATGAAGCCAATGCAAAAATGATTCACAACGTTGCTTTAGACGTCTGCATATGATGAACGAAATAAAAAAATGAATTAAACATTCCTTCGTCGTTAGACATCTGCATTAAGAAGTTGCACAACATGTAACGTCGAATCAATTTTATGCCACGTTCGACATTATCCTCGTAGAGCGTGACCTTTTTGCGATTCGGTGTGTTTTTCGTAACAATGAGTATTTACTGCTTTTCAAGTTGATGTTTCAAGTATCAATGCATTGCGCTGACGCACCGCTATTTAGAAGCTTAGTCAATGTGTCAGTGATATTTTATAAGGGCAGGCGAATAATCCAGGCGCACGAATAATGCAACACATAGAAACCGTGACTCTCGTGCGTTGGAGTATTATATTTTGCTTTCATTACACAGAATAATATGCCTTAAGCTAATAATTACAGCGCTTTGAGGGTATAAGTAGCTGCCAATAGCCTCATACCTGCTACATTTTCCTGCGTGTATCTCATGTTTTTGTACGTAGGAGGCATCGGTAATGCCTATTAAGACCTATTGTACAATACCACTGAGACAACCAGCCCTAAATTCGCGCACTTCAGCTTTATGTTGTTCCTTAAAACTGTGGTCACTGGCGAGCGGCGAGTTGCCCGACAAGAGTAGCAAGCGTAGAGTAGGTTAACCAGTTTACGTTATTTTGTGAAAAGAAACCAAAGTATGAAAATGTATAAAATTCAACGTGTAATATAGGCAAAACTGTGAGCTTTCAAACAAGGAGTGCTGTTTGAAAAGGCACACGGGTTGCTAGTGATCCCGAAAAAAAGCACTCAAAGTTGGGAAATCTGTGTAAAATCAATATTTCTAAAAGGACACTGCAGCAGTCCTGTGCATGGTCGTAAGATGCTCCTTGTGCGTAGTCAAAGCTTCTGCGAACTTTTGAGAGAAGCATCAGACCGCAGCACAGTGCAGTATTACGTTTCAAAGTCAGCTAGTAGTTCCTCATCTTCTCTCGACAAATGATAACATACACTCGATTTCGACTGCGTCATAAACTCGTGGACATGGTCACTGGTATTTCCATAAGCATGACCTACACAGATATCACGGTAGTAGCGACATGTGGCCAAGCACCAGAACCACTTCGTGCTTTACAGTTCTGCAAATTGCACGCTTTATAACTACACCAGCCTGCTGGCATTGACATTAAATTCAGGCCTCTCGTTTGGAGAAAAAAATAATAACAATAAAATACTGAAAGAGATCAAGAGCGCTGGATATGTAGTGTTACGTTGACTCTTTGTAAGCTCCACTTTATTGAAATATACTAGTGCTCCTTCGAAAAAGAATTTGTCACTTGCACAGTGCAAAAAATCCTTGTAACTAAACAGTTGACCTGTTCTAAAGATGTTAGTGGCAGTCGATTAGTCAGGCAGTTATCACCGAAGGAGCAGTCAATTTGTGATTACGCAGCCAGGAAGCAAGGTAGGAACAGGAGGGAAAGAAAATGCAGGGATGTTAACCAGTCTAGAAGGACTGGTATAACACCGTACACAGACGAAATTAACACCGCATTTTCCAATTAGTGCGCAATGAGTGCAGTCTAAGAGCTCTTCCCACTAATGAGCGATAATCTCAGCGAAAGTTCTTTAGTGTACGTTCATTCCTAATCCGCGTCGCTTCCTCACCCTCATTCTCTCGTACACTCACGTTTGCAATCCCGCCGCCTCACATCACTGGTGACTCACTTTCTCGCCTTTGCTATGAATGGGGCTGAGTGCAATTGATGGGAAACTATCTGTGTAGAAACATGTCCTACCTTGCTTTTGTTCATGGTGGTGAAGTTTCACAGCGCGTGATCATACGAAAGAATAAGTAGAGAAAAGAGAGAAGCACTCTTCTCTGCTCTGTTGCATTCTGATATTACGTTCGCGTGCCGAGAAAACTTGCCAACGGAAACCTATCGAAATTGCACTGGCATGCGCAATGCCCTTAAAACGGTATGTTTGCTTCCGCGAGGCAACAATCGTCGCTTAAAACTTCACAAAAAAGAAGAGTTTAAAAACCGAGAGAGTGGCGGAAAGTGAATGGTAAATTTACCTATGCACGTGTGGGAGTTTTCGTGTCTTTTGCGTTTCGTTCACGGCACAGAACTCGCGCAGCCTGTTGTTGTCACGCACTGTCGCACTGTGTGGTTCTGTCTCGTTGCACCTCCCCCAATCTCCAGCTATGCCTCCGGGTCATTCACGAGCACAAAGCGCAGAGACAGACTGGACCTGCCAGCCCCAGGATCTGGAATTCTGTAAGTACACCACGCACCCCCTTCTCTCGCACTCTGCACGGATGCTGTCTCCAACAAGTGCGCAGTGGTCGTTAGAATGTCTTAGTGCTCTTTTCTCATGGATTTTTTTAAATAAACGCCGAACCTGAAAACACCTTACTTTCTTGCTCGATACGTCGTTTTATCACTTTTAACTTTCTGGACTAGTCAAATAAGCAGAACTATCGATCAAGCGACAGGAAACATCATCGTGTGTGAGGCAAACATTCGTTCTCTAGGAATGTAAATATTCCTTAGTTATTCAGCTCAAGTAATAAAATGGTACAATGCGATATTCGGTCATTAGACTCAGTAACTTAAAAGCCTGCTTTAATACCATTATTTGTAGTGCTGTTAGAGTTGATGACATTGAAGTGTGATTAATTTTTTGTGCTTCTTTCTGGCGTTTGGGACGGCCGCAGGTTCAAGCACAACACGTCTTTCGTGAGCAGGCTGTCCACGATACGTCGGCACCGACAGCCCGCCACTCCGTCGCACTTGCATTCCCCGATGTCCCGGAGCCGTTACCATTGTGACTCTAACGCCAGCCAGGACAATGTAATGCACTCGGGGAGGCTTCCGGCCAGCTTCAGCGAGGACAGCGTTGCCAGAGACATCTCTGATGCCTCAAAACGAAACTCGGACGGTGAGCCAATTTGCGTGGGGATCTTTCTTTTCTTACCTACTCGCGCAACTAGAGACTGGCCATCTAGCAAGGAGGGGTTGGCTGTTATTATTATTATTATTATTATTATTATTATTATTATTATTATTATTATTATTATTATTATTATTATTATTATTATTATTATTATTATTATTATTATTATTATTATTATTATTATTATATTCATTTGAATTAGTACCCATAACAATTTCAGACATCCTGTCTGGTGTGCCATTCGAATACAATATAATAGAAGCGACAGGATATATTTGTGCTTAAGTCTAATCGCTGATCACATAGAAGTGGACGTTTTTATTTGAACAGCAAAGCTGTTCTTAGTCGAGGATTCACGGTCCAATGAAAAATTGCGTCATGAAAAGTTTTGTTTTCACACAAAATAAAGTTGTTCCCACCAATCTCCGTCCGATGGCGTAGCGCTGATCACGTGGTATCGCAAATGTGGCGAGAGTGAGGACTCGTAGGAAGGGTAGAGCGGCGCCATGTCAGGAAGGGTGAGGGTGAGTCTTGATGGAAGAACCAATGAGAGGCTTGCTTGAAAGAGGAAGAGTGAGGGTTTGTGAAACGAGGAAACCAATCAGCGGCATGTTGACAGGGGTGAAAGTAAGGCTTACCGAAGGAATCCACCTTTTTTGCAAGAAGTAGGTCAGTGAGTGTGTCGGTGGCGTGAAAAAGAGCCCCTTGATTTTTAATAATCTTGCGAATTCATAGTGACGAAGACTGCTCCCGAGAAAAAAACCACTCGACGTGAGTGACAGTGAAAGCTGACGCGGGAATGGGCATGTCGTCTCCGAAGCAACCGCGATCTTCGTTCAAGAGAAGCTGAACCTAACCAAGCCTGAACGAAGGGAAGGCTTGAAACGCCTAAAAGTACGAGAACCTGATAAAGGAGGGACCTTGACTTCTCTCTTTTGACAGTGTTCGTCGAGTAGAGCTGGCTGGCTTGTTTTTCTTTTTTCTAAAGTGTTTCCTTTAGTGTGGACGTTAAACCACAAACTCACAAATTCACAACGAAGCAAGTGACTCGCTTCGGGCTTAGTTCTATTACGCTCAGTAATTACTATTTATGTACTCCAGAAGCCTACAGGCATCGCACAGAAAAGGACAAGAAGACTAAGTTAAGAAAAAAGTGTATCACTACATATATAGCCAGTAGTCGCAGACGATGCCGTCGAACGCATGCTGAGCGATGTAAACTACGCCTTACTGCGTGAATGTGTCGATACTCATGCTCCCATTCGTGAGCAATTGCCACCAGAAAAGCAGGTTTGTAAGAAGGTACAGAGTGATTGTAAAAAAAAAAAAAACTTTTATTTTTAAGCACTTTTTTTTATTGCCTGCTACCATTCGTTGATAGTTTGTTCGCTATCACGATTAGTCGTTTTGTTGTTGCTTGGTTTACGAGCTCGGCTATGGCAGCCTTTTGTGATTTCGGGAGCCCCTCTTTTTATTTTGGTCCCGACATTGTCCAAAACACTGCGAGTCCGAGCTTAAAAGCGAAATGTCTGTCATGATGAAAGTGCTCACCTGGTAAAGCGGACATCTGCGGCATCTCCGAAAATTACTCAGCATGCCGTCACATTTGGATTCCCAAAAAGGATCGACTGTACAAATATCGCGTACATTAGTAATGAGTATGAGCAGTACAAAGAGAACCCGAATGTGTGCACGCACTGAACATGGTTTATTTTGTGCCAGTGTATCGCGTATTAATATTTCATTCGCACAAACAGAATAATGAACGAGTGGAAATTACACTGTTCAATGAAGACCACTGTATAGTTTACAGATCACGACTGCCGGTTTCCGGGCTTCTGCATTCGGCCGAGGCGGATATCATATGAAACTGAAGTTGAAGCTGTGGATCGTCAAACAGTCTTTGAAAAATGCCGAAATGCGTAAGGTGCTTCTGAGTGTGGGAACCAGGGCATACCTTAACTAAACGAACGTGTAGTATTTTGCTGTTGCTGCTGCGTTTCCGTTTATATTTTAGTTCTAAAGGTACGTAGACAATTTTTGATGCTTCAACTGTGCTGCATAATACGTAAGTGATATACGGCAAATATTGTATGCGTTCGAAAAGAGGCGTGTATAAGCTTACAACAATAAACTATTAAGAACGCAGACAATTACTAGCAGCGATGAGTGGAGTTCATGGTAGTAAAAGTCGTGGAGATACTGTCGCTATCTTAAAAGCATCGTAGATAAGTTCACACGTCCCAAAATTTGTGCGAATGTGTGCATTTGCGTTGAAATAAATATGATTAACATGAACATTACACCACGGCTTTTTTCATGAGGACATGCACTTGATGGCATCTACATATTTAGCGATTCTACCCCTTGCAGGCCAACATCAAATAGGCAGTGATGTAATATTCTCGTTATACAGATTTACTTCAGCACAATTACATTCACGCACAAAAATTTTGAAGCGCTTTCACACCTGTCAGCTATGAGAGCAAGAAGTGATAAGGTGATTATCGCGTCCATCTAGAGTGAAGGCATAAAAACAGCTGCGACTCGCACCGGTCACTGAGCTGTTTGCGAATGGTGACTGAAAGCTCAAGGCTATTGGCGGCTCAAGGAGACCGCTGTTGACACATGCGCGTGGCGCATAATCATCGCCGCATAGTATTCATAGCTTGTGTGTGGCTAGGATTGCCATTGCCTTGTAAAATAAATTAACGTTCTGTTCCTGCGCACGGGATTGGCGCAAGCAGAGGCTTGTGACTGCAGTCGTTCGGCTGCAAAGTATAGCATTGAATGGCAGAGACGAAGCAGCTTCTTTGCGACAAAAGCAACATTTTGCGACCTTACGAGCCCAGTCGCTTTGAGATTAACATAGTCCCTTGTCCGCTGCTAGTTGCGGCTGTGAACGAGCCTTAACAAGACAGCCTTACCGCTTCGAACTCTATGCAATTACTCTATAGTACGTCTGTGAAAATAAGCCTTTCAGAATTCTCATAGGCCACTTCAAAGAGAAGCTACTGCACAGACAAGCACGAATGCTAACCAATGTGCAGCTCCGAGCATTCCATGGGGCTATCAGAAGTTTATCCTTGGTTTTATTTGCCACACAAGAACATACAGCCAGATATTACGCTACGGATGAGTTCTAAGATCTAAGACTGGCGTATAATTTTAGAGCCTTTTTAATAATGCCGTTTATGCATGCCAATTATGAACGGCAGTTGGGAACAATTAGTACGAAGCCGAACGACAGATGTTGTGCTTCATACGTCGTGCTTAACGACTGCCAGGGAGCCTCATTAGAGAAGTCCGCTCATTTTGTTTCTTTTGCGCAGACGAATGTCACCCGCTTCTTGCTTTAATATTTAGGACTTGGCTGTAAACAGTGACTCTCTAACAAGCAGTCACTTTTATTTTTTTTTTTTTTACAGTTTATCATAGAGATTTCAAAAATATGTCTGAGCACGACATGCATAATAAAAAGCTCGCTCATAAAATTTTAAGATTGCTAACGAACAAGTGCAGTGCGTAGCTCTTGCGCAATTGCAATGACGTCTGCTGGTTCCAACTGACCCAACAATGAGCATGAAAATAGTGAAAATTTCAACCTCTCTCGACCTCTCAGAAAGCAATCAAGTCAACTCGAAATATATATTATTTGTCAATATACCACTTATTCGGCAAGTACGGCAGCATCGCTTAAACATTGTCATAACAAAACAAAAAGCCCTTGTATTTTTTTATCCCGTTATAGAGCTCCTAATCATCATGATGGTTCAGAAATTTTTCGCAGCTATGGAGAACTTTTATGATAAAAACGTTCTTAGAAGAAATCAAACTTGTGCTCCATGAAACTTCTTAAGGTGCGTTAGACCATTGCTACTCTCTGAGAATTAAACAGACGTGTTTAGGTTTCTGCAACTTTTCGTTTCATGCTACGTTTTACGCAGCTCATTTTTAAATGGTGTGCTGCGCTCGGTAACTACAGATGGCTTCATTGAGGTGTTCATCGGGACAACCAGAAACACGCATGACCAGGCATAGAATGACATAAAGCCTAGCTAGCCGGTGCGGCTTCTTTATGAAAAAAAAAAAAGTCAAGGCTTGCAGACTCGGTCAGAACGGACGAGAACGAGACAGCGCGAATTTCTGTTCTGCGCTTATCTGCATGCGTTGCCTGATTTAGTAACAGACCCGGAAATGTGTATACAAATATTCGCCTCTATACGAACAATAAGGCCCCATAACATCGTGCACCGTACGGCAAGGCGCACTGAGCGTTTAACAGTGTCTGCATTTCCGGTGATATCGTACTTGGTTCATCAAATTTAACGCACGATGTCATACGCGGCGCGTGTTCAACCAAGTGACCGCGAAGAAAAACAATCAAAGCGAAATGAGCAGGTAAGAGCAACGTTGCTGTGTCATTACTGAAGTTCCAACTAGCCTGTAACTTTGAAAGTGGACAGGGTCATTGGCACAGAAAGCTGGAAAACGGAGAGGTGCTGCGAACCCGCATAGAGTGCCCCCTCAATGGTGAGCTGGTCTTTGTAGGTGCAGGAAGACGGTACTAATGTATTAATATTTGTTATTAGTGCGCCTTGAAGCTATTAGGGAAAGATATAGTCGGCGGAAAATAGTGTGATATAGGCTACATCATCCCTATTTTTCTATGGCTGATATAAAAGCCGTGGATGAAATATTATCGAGAGTGTAGCTCGGTATAGTTCGTCTTGGCGTTTGCTTGCATGATTAGTTTAGGGAGTACTAGCCAGCCATCCACGGACTTATGGAACATTAACAACCCGTAGATGTGGCTTCGGTGCACAGAACTAGCTGTGGCAAGTTGTGTTTTTGCATCTGCTTTTATTTGCTTGTTTGTACTGTTATTTGTAGAATACATTTAAGGGCGACGCACAATTTCATCTATGCTTTTGCCAGCTTCATTTTCTACGATTCAGTATACTAGGGACCAATGCAAACAGATT